AGTATTCCTAATATCCAAATTCAAGTTTAAGTCAATTCGACATGATCGGTGTGGGTGTGGGTGTGGGTGTGGATGTGGGTATGGGTGTGGGTGTGGGTGTGGATGTGGGTGTGGGTGTGGATGTGGGTGTGGATGTGGGTGTGGGTGTGGGTGTTGAAGAATAGAAGATCGACACCTACACTCACACTCACACCCGCACCCACGCCCACACCCCGATTAACCGAGGAAGAACATCAATTATTAAAATTAGGTTCTCGGTTTATTTATGATGATCCAAAAACGGCATCTCGACGACGTACAATTGAGTTGGCTGCTTTGAAACGAAAAATTGAAGCTCGATTCCATGAGAAAAAAGTTAGCCCCGGTCGTCCTGTCGAACAATTTATTGCTGAATTAGATAAGGTGCTTCAAAATTTACATGATATACCTATGATTAATCAATATCGAAACACGTTGTTAATTCAAAGTCAATCTAGTCAATCTCAAGTTACGAATCGGCCTGTAGTTAAGAAAAAGAAAAATTATGGGCGATTAGTTAAACGTTTAAAATATAAATTTAGATTGGCTAACGTTACAGTAAGAAAATCTGATAAATCAAAAGTTTTCCATTTAGGTAAATCTGAAGATTATCAAAAGAAGTCTAATGAATATATGGACAGAACTCAAGCATATCAATGTCTTGGTACAAAAGATCCATTACCTGAATAATTCAACGGATAAATAAATATCCATTAGATTTAAGATTAGCCAAATGGATTACTCAAAAACAATATGAACAGTTATATATTAAACCAAATGAAGTAGAACTTGCTCATTTATATTATTTACCTAAAGCACACAAGCCTGGTACTCCTCTTCGTCCAATAGTTTCTGGTCTCAAGCACCCAACAATAAAAATCTCAAAGTTTCTTGATGAATTACTTCGACCATTATTTGATAAAATGGCTGCAAAAACAACTGTAAATTCTGGCTTTGAACTAGTCAAACAGTTGCAAGAATGGTCTAAAAATAATATGTGTCAAGAAACTTTATTTTGTACAATTGATGTTATGGACCTTTATACTATGGTACCACAAATAGAAGGAGTACTAGCATTAAAGAAAATGTTGGATCATTTAAAATTAAAACAAGTTGGTGGTCTTAGAATTGAAACAATTATTCGGTTAAGTCGATTTGTTATGCAAAATAATTATTTTTCTTACGACGGCCAATATTATCATCAAATTCGTGGAGGAGCAATGGGTTCTCCTCTTACACTAACTGTTGCTAATTGTTATATGTTCTTTTATGAACAACAGATTATAAAACAAATCGACAATAGTGGTGGATTATATTTTAGATACATTGATGATATATTTATAGTGATTAATTGGCCTGCTCGGCATTTATTTAAACAAATCGATAGATGGAATCACTTTGATAAAAACATTAAACTATCAGAAAATATTGGTTCAACTGCTGATTTCCTAGATTTACATATAGAAAATCAAGATGGGCAATTATTTACTACAATTTATCAAAAGCCATCTTATGAACCGTATTATTTGCCATTTAATAGTACCCATCCGTTGCACATGAAGAAAAATATAATATTTACTATGTTTCTTCGTATTATTAGATATTGTTCAACTTTCCAAGCCTATTTAAGTGAGCGTGAAAGATTACGAATGGCTTTATTATTGAATAAATATCCTAATAAGATTATTAAAGAACAATTTAATCATGTATTATTTAAAATTAAAATTGATCAACCACTAACCTTTAATACTTATGATAGATACCATCAAATGATTATAGATTCCCAATAAAAGAAAAAATACCAGTAGATTATGGAAAAACAATGTTTGTTCATTTTACTTATTGTTCAAGTATGAAAACATTTCCAAAAAAATTCCACACCCTCTGGAATAGGTATTTTGGTGAATCTCCGATCAATGAAGTTTTACCTGTTCTTGGTACACGTAATGTTAAAAATTTGCAAAGACAATTAACTTATACAAAATAAATTAAACGTCCAATTTTTGATATATAGCATGCGTTCTATTTTGTCTAGGATATTGTTTATTAATTCAATATATATGGTTTATAAATCGAATTGGGGACACATGGCCTATGTTTGTTTATGAATATTAAATTGATACATATACTTTATATTTTGTTTATTAATATGTTTTGATTTGGTACATGTGGCTTATTTGTTTTGACACATGTTTCATTAATATTGATTTAATATATATAGTTTATATTTCGTTTATAATATGTTTTGATTTGTTACATGCGGCTTTGCTTGTCTATTAATATTTATATATTTTGATTTGATACACATGTTTCCCGTTTTGGTTTGATTTGATCCACGTGGTTCGGGGTTTGTTTTGGTGTGTATATATGGTTTATCTGGAATATGTTTGAATAAATAAATTTATTTAGCTATCCATTAATTAATGTTATGCTATAAAATTATTGTCAAGCTCTTTTATACATTTATACCTAAAGAGCTTATTGAACAATTTCATTTAGCTAAGGTTTAATCCGTCAACTAAACGTTGAGTTATACAATATACTAAAAATAATTTTATAAAAATAATTTTATATTATGTTATTATACTATATCAATATAAATTAGTAGAGGTTATCCCAAGGGGGAAAAAACTATTCGGGCATTCGGATCCATTCCATCCATTCTCATCCATTTCCGTCCATTCCCATCCATTCCCATCCATTCTCATCCATTCTCATCCATTTCCATCCATTCTCATCCATTTCCATCCATTCTCATCCATTCCCATCCATTCCTAGATTCTCAAATATATTTCTGGTTTTCTTAAATTGTCGAAATTGTATGATAAGAATGCATTTTTTTCCTTAGATTATCTATCTTCTACTGACCGAAGTCAAAATATTTTATGTCATATTGATGACTATTTCACAACAGATTGCATTTAATACTTTGAGAATAAGTCTTTAAATTCATCAATGTTCTAAACAATTGTATATACTGTAGAAATTAATATAAGAGAGAGAAGAACTCACCCTAACATTTCTGATCACTTTCAGCTAATTCAAGTAACTATCATTTCTTCATATCTAATCAATTACGTTTTTATCATGTGTAAGTGATTTTACACGGTAATATGGCCATGTATTTTGTATTTAGATAATCGTTCGAAAAATGCTGTTAAAATCAAACCATACAGATACAGTGCATCAGATAAACTTTTTCATTTACCTTTTAGTATATTGAAATAAGAATATGCTGTACTAAGAAACAGTGATTGTTAATAATTAAACTCGTCAATGATAAACTATTTCAAATTTTTTTCGTATTATTAGTACTAAAATAAAAAACTTTAGATCCTTTTAAATAATGTATATTAATCATCGCAATTCGTACTGGTTCTTGTTTAGTAATATTTATATATTCAAAATGAAATAGAAGATTTATTGAATTAACAGATAATATTCAGTTTTTAATGCCATTGTAACTTTTTACATTAAAGTGTAAGTAATATTTTGAATTGAAATAGATAAAATATCGATGAATACGTTCAAAAAATTTTTAAATATTTCTAATATAATATAATCAAAAAAAGTCTTTCTCCTATCTCGAAAAAGATTATGTTAAACGTCACAAAAAAGAAGCATGTTATTGAATATAAAAAATGCATTTTTTTACTTATGATAAATAGTCAACGAAATTGAACAAAAAAAAGATACTTAGGTCAGTCCAAAAGTAGTTGTGGAGGTATATCAATTTCTTATAGAAAGTTCTGAGGAACTTTTTTTCTTTACAGTCTGATAGAGAAATGAAAGCTCTATTTTTCTATGCTATTTGATCGTACTTTAACTAATATGATGATAATAAATTTTTCATAAGACTTTTTTCTTTAACATGTCTGTTCGTTGTAAGTTGTACATCGCAGTTTTCATTTCCTTGTTAGTTGTATTAACAATCAAAATATGCCATAAGATGCAGCGTGAAAAGCTCTATAATTTCCATAAGACCATTTATTTTCTAGTTGCACATTCTGTTCTTAAAATAGACTAAATTTTCAGCAACCAAATTTCAACCATGAAAAAGATAATGTTTTTGATACACGACGAATTCATTTTTTGTTGTTGATCATTTTATCACCTAATATGCTTTATCAAAAGAAAAACAAAATACACCAGAAGATGCAGCGTGAAAAGCTCTACAATCTACATAGTAAGGTTTATTGAAATTGTTTTGAAAGAAAGGAAAATTCTATACGATCAGTTTTTACAACGACCAAAGTTCGATCACTCAAAACCTTGCCCATTTTGAAAAGAAAAAGTGCAACTAGAAAATAAGTGGTCTTATGGAAATTGTAGAGCTTTTCATGCTGCATCTTATGGCATATTTTGGTTGTTAGTATAATGTATTAGTGAACTAAAAAAACTAAACGGTCTGACTCATTAAGAGCTAGTACAACGAGCAGACATGTTAAAGAAAAAAGTCTTATGAAAAATTTATTATCATCATATTAGTTAAAGTACGATCAAATAGCATAGAAAAATAGAGCTTTCATTTCTCTATCAGACTGTAGAGAAAAAAAGTTCCTCAGAACTTTCTATAAGAAATTGATATGCCTCCGCAACTACTTTTGGACTGACCTAAGTATATATGTTTGTTTTTACCTATCCTTCTTTACACGATATATGATTTTAACATGACTAACAATAAATGGAATTTCGTTAATCTTCCACCAATTTACCTTCATTTTCATTTTTATTATAAATAAACGGAACCTATTTGGAGTGACAAATATATTTTTTTTCTTTGAAGAAAACTTTGTTGCACCTTAATAGTTAGTCCGCCAAATTAATAGTATTTTATGTGTGATTTCTGTCAAATAGATAATATTTATCTCGTTTTTTTTGTGCTATTAATTGATATCTTGCTTGTCTCCACTACCTTATCACAACCAAATTAAAAATACATATAATATTGAAAAAAGATTTTTTTTGAATCAAATTTGTATTTTCATGCTTTTTTTACGGCATGTATTGAAAACGTCGAAAGAAAAATGGCGAGGGAAAAAAATCGAAAAAAACGTCAAAAAATAAATGTCGAAAAAAAACATTGAGCGAAAAAAAGTCGACAGAAAAAAGATCGAATGAAAAAAATGTCGAATTAATGAAAAATTATGTTGGATGAAAAATATAAAATATTTATTTGATTTGATTGAAAAAAAAGGAAAAATACGTTAATTGATAATGACAAATGAGTATTAAAAGAATGAATCATTCGATAAAAGAAAATACGATAGAAAACACAAGAAATATGATAGGAAAGAAAATCAATATTGGTCAATAATGACATCTTAGAAGTTTCGATATGTTACATGATCGACGTTTTTTTATTTCGATTTTTTTTGTTCGACGTTTTTGCCTTCGACATTTTTTCTTTCGGCATGTTCATAGTAAATCTTTTTTACTATTTGTCTCTACACATTATGATGTAACGAAAAAAAGCATAATATCTCATTATTATATGGGTAAATACTTATGATGGTATTTGTAGAATATCACACATGTTCGAATATTTCTAGAGTAAATAATGCTATTTAATAAGTTAAAAAGATTTATTATGTATACAAAATGTTTGGACATATTTAGTAAGTTACATGCTCTTAGCATTTCAATAGTTAATATAGCTAATTTTGTACTACATGAAATTACTTCTGAATTTCTCTGATTATTCCGATCCATTCTCCTCCATTCCCGTCCATTCTCATTCATTCCCTCCCATTCTCATCCATTCCCTCCGATTCTCATCCATTCCCTTCCATTCTCATCCATTCCCGTCCATTCTCATCCATTCCATTCATTCTCATCCATTCGAATGCCCGCGAATGAGTTTTTTCCCCCTTGGGTTATCCCCGTTGAATGGAAGACGCCAAGATCAACTTCTATTTTTAATGAGTAGATTTCGATTTTAATTCTCCGATTAATACTGTTACAGCGAACAAATAAGACGAACAAGAGATATTATGTTTCCGGCCAGTATCTTTAAAGAAAAAATGGTTGATATTATGTTTCCGGCTAATATCTTCAAAGACAAATAAGTGATATTAGTTCCTGGTTGATATCTTCAAAAACAAATAAATAGTATTATGCCCCTAATTGATATCTTCAAAGACAAATAAATGTGGGCCATAGATTCAGTTAATATGAATAATACAAATTGTATATAGATCGATCGAAAACAATTGAATTCAATCAGTAGTGTAAATAAATAAATATTATATATTAATCTCGGCGTAATTTTTGTATGGTTCACAGTAATTTTGGTATGGTTCACCAATAAAATTTGATTTTTGAAAAGCAAAAGTCGAATGCCCCCATTTAAATTTTCCTACATATACTTTTGCTTATTATCCTTTTTACATATACTTTTTTCCAGTTAATTTTCATTTTTAACTTTTATTTGTCATTTTTCTTATTTTAACTTCACCTTTGCTTATTATTTGTAATGCAGAGCCCTGATGAATGTTTCAAAATTTCAATAAATAACACGAAACGCGTCGGCAAAATTAACTCTGCATTTCTTTCATTATACTCATTCAAGCATATTTATTTCTGTTAATTCAATTTTAATTTGATTTTTCGACAGGAAATCGATTGCTGAAAAGCAAGGGTTGAGACTAGAAGATTGAACTTGTCTTTTCGTTAAGAGATAGGTTGATATGTTTTCTAATTGATTTACGTACACCCTTGCTCAAACGTATCCGTTCACCTGTTATGGAGAGCCCAGTTTTCGATGCGAAGAACATGCTTGTACCGCTGCTGATAGCCTAAATGTTGGTTTTGCATGTGGCGATGGATCCTGCAGTAACGAGCCAGCGACAAGTATAAGTCACTGTGAAAATGGTCGAGACATTCTATTTTTACAGGCTCTAGTTTCGCCGTTGCATGAAGAATCGGCTCTTTCATACAATTGCTCCATCGCCATAACCTGTCTGACTAAGATCGCAAAACGACTGG